GACGGTGTGTCCCTTTCGAGTGGAACTCGGAGGATGACTTGAGAGAACATTAAGCAGATCAGTCATGTGGAGGTTCAGGGCGATATGTTCATGCAAGCAGTGGGAGCAGGATCGCTAAGGTCAGTCTGGAGGATGGATCGCTCGTCGTCTGGAGGATGGATCGTTCGTCGTCTGGAGGATGGATCATCGGCTTCCGGAGGATTGAATTCGAAGGATCGTTGTGTAAAGCATTGACTTTTGAAGATTCGAATTAGGATACCAAATGACTATTTTAGAGGATCAAGAAACAGGATGTGTTGTTTATTGAAATGTGCATTTTTCATTTTGTGATTCATGATTCATGGATATCAGCAGAACATATGATAGACAGGAGTCTATCATGGAGGGGGGAATGGACTGAAGAACAGTTCATGGAATGTCCGAAACACTGCGACCGCGGACACCAGATGAGCATGTTCTCGGATGAGGTTATAGAACAGTTGCGTTTTGGGACGCTCAGTTATCCTATGGATGTTTTGTTTTGTTCTCGGACAATGTGTTGTAAATGCGCGAACACAACGCCGCTGAAACGCTTACTGCACCGAGAATTCCATGAATGAATGTTTGTTATATAAACGTATTTCGCGTGATACCGGACAGAGTGTGTGTTTAATGAGTGTGTTAGAGACTGTGGGAAGGGTATTAGTGTTAGAATGTTAGATGGTTGCGTCGAACGAACATCTGTGTGTTGGATGTTGACGCGTTTGAGATGATTTGGTCATAATCGGACCTCAGCAAGGTATTGAAGCTTTCGTACAGTATCTTGCATTCGTTAGTGTATATATAAATTTACAATTGTGGGGAAATAAAATTTGGATTAAATAATTAGAATTTTTGTTTTCATTCCACTGCATAACACACCCGGATCCGGAATCCGGGAGCAAAACACAGGAATCTGGTTCGTCACCCCAGACGCAAACAGATCCACCTGGAACGACCCGAACAACTGGGAGATAATTCCGAATATCTCCCGGTCGAGCATCCACTCGTGTGGGGCTAGTATACGCCGTGAGAGCGCGTCTGCATGGACGTTGTCTACCCCCGGGAGATAAACAGGCAAAACCTGAATGTTGAACTGATCGCACCACAGTAGAAACTGCCACGCCTCCTGAAGGAGCGACGGAGACACTGTGCCGCCTTGCTTGAGAATGTAAGTCATGGCCGTTTGATTGTCCATTTCTAGACGAACCACACGGCCCTGCACCAACACCCGGAAGCACTCGAACACCTTGCGGACTGCTCTCAGTTCTAACACATTGATGTGTAGGCTGACCTCCCGCTCCGACCAGAGGCCGGAGGCTGAGTGCTCGCCCAGGACCCCCCCCCAACCTGTGAGGGAGGCGTCCGTCTGAACTGAGAGGGAAGGTGTCGGGGTGTCGAGGGGGATCCCCTTGGACAAATTCCCGACGTCCGTCCACCATCGCAAGTGAGGGATTATCCAGCACGCACAGTGTGGAGGCTCTGCTTAACTGAGGCCCTAAGGCCCGTAGAAGCCAATCGTCCAGGTACGGGTGACAACACCTGCCCTGAGACCTGGCTAACTGAGCTGGGATTAGCATAAGTTTGGTGAACACCCTTGGCGCTGTGGAGATGCCGGAGGGGAGCACGCGAAACTGGTAGCATGTCCCGTCGAAGGAGAACCGGAGGTACTTCTTGAATTCGGGGTGCATGGGAACATGGAGGTATGCGTCTTTGAGATCGATTGACGTAAGCCAATCCCCTGTCTCGACGGAGGAGATCACTGACCTGAGTGTCTCCATCCTGAAAGACGGCACCTCCAGTAATTTGTTCAGCCCTCTGAGATTCAGAATGGGTCTGAACCCTCCGTCCTTTTTGGTCACGAGGAAGTAGGTGGAATAAAACCCCTCTTCTCGCTGACTCACAGGAACCACCTCGATGGCCGCCTTGGTCAGTAAAGACTGAACCTCGGCACGGAGGACTTCCGCCTTGTCGCGGGGGGTCGGCACAGGCGTGTGTCGAACCCCGGAGGACGGAGGATCGCGCCTCCACTGTGGCAAATGGCCATCCCTGAGCGTGGACAGGACCCAGGGATTTGAGGTGGCTGCCTCCCACTCCCGGAGGAATAGGGCTAGCTGGCCGCCGACAGGGATGTGTGGCAAGAGGCAGTGCACCCCCACCGTCGGCAAGTCTCTGCTTGCGTGAGTGGGGGGCAACAAGGGCTCTGGGGACAGATAGCCACAGGCGGCGCAAGCCCTTGACGGCACCCATCATCTGGCTGGCACAGCACCTAATGCTGTCCCGAGCCAGATGCGAGTGTACATCCGTTAGTTGCCGCGCGAGCACCGACTCCGATGAATCGGCACCGCAAGAGCTGTGGGCCACCAGCTGTCCCTGCAATGCAGACAGGTAGGCTGAATGGACGGCCACTTTAAGTTGCTGAGCCGCGCACCGGTAACATTCTTCGAATGACCGGTAGGCAGACTTCAGCGGTAGTGATGTACTAGCCGGAAAAGGGGGGATGCGCCTGCCCTGCCTGGCCGAGGCCAGGGAAGACGAAGACGACCCTCCTAATGTAACTGAGGCAAAGACGCACTCGTCCACCACTGGTGGTTCGAAGAGCGTCTCCTCACCTAACTGGTACCGCCTGCCGACGTCAGGCAAATCAAAGCGCGAGCGAGTACCAGCCAGGAGCGGATTCACCACCTCACTGACCAGTGATGGGAGAATGCGTAGGCGTGCCTCTGCGACCCGGTGAGGTGCGAACGCCTCACCCGGGAGCCGAAACTCCGCGGGGTCGGGTGCCGGGACGGGAACAGCCACCTGCGGCAGGACTTCGGCGATCTTATCCCGAACCTGCCGCAGTGACGAGGCAAAGGAGTACGGTACTCCCGCCTCCAGTTCCTCCGTCCCTTCCTCCTCCTCCATATCGACCTCGGCAGAATCCTCGGCCATCATCATCTCAGACTCCTGAGAGAACGCCGAGGAGACGCCAGAGGCAGGACCAGAAAAAGTCATAAGGTCCAGAGGAGCCAGGGGAAAAACATCACCCTGCCGGGAGGAACCCGCGCCAGGTCGCCGAGTAAAAACGGTTAAACGAATCAACAGGAACGCTTTGTACAGGTGCTGAATCAAGAGGGGGGGTGGCGGGTACAGAGATGGAAGCAGTAGGAGATGCCGAAGGGGCATGAGTGCGTGACGAAGCCGGCTTGGTAGCCTTAGCTTTCTTGGGAGCCGGCTCCGCGTGGGAAGCGGCTCCTGTGGACCCCTTTTTTTAGCTATGGGAGCGTTTGGACGGGGGATCCTGCGCCCAGAGATCACCCCCCGCCCGAAGCAGGTTGCTGTAGAACAGCGTGTCTATCCGCCTCGACCGAATGGTTTGGGGCGAGAACATGGCACATGCCGCACACCCCTCTTCCTCATGTTCCTTCTGCACTAAACAGCGTAAGCAGACCTCGTGGGAATCCCGTACGGGGATTGCAGCAAGGCAGGAAGTACAGGGTTTAAACTGCAACAAGTAAAAAACCTGTGCAGCAATCTACCCTATACCCACATACAAATACATGTAAAACAGACGCATGGGCGACACAACTAATGCGACAACGTAGCATGCAGTTGACAACCTAGTACACACTGCAGCATAACTAACAATTACGTTTTTTTTAGCGTAATATAGAAAATGCGAGCAGTTGACATACACGCCTCCTACACGCACAAAGATACAAATAAAACCACTAAAACCACCTGTAACATTGAAAAACCACATGGGAAACCAATGAACAGGAAGGCTAGCGAAGGGACCTGTCCGCCATCTTGACACGCACTAGCGAGCAGTCAATCATGACAGGTACCAAGTTACAACGAGAATTTATGAATGAAAAATTCAGAAAGAACCTCCAATTAAGCCCATGCAGGGAAAAAAAAAAAAGAGAACCATACATACAGTTGCAGTTTCTGGAAACACTCATAACTCTCTTAGTCGCAAGGAAAAACCTTCTGGTATGGACCCACGTCTTGTCGGTACAACGACAGCATGGAAAGTGAGGTACGAGGTTACGGTCTAGAGTTACCTGCTCTTGACTGTAGGGGGCCAGAGGGCCCTGTAAGGGTGGTCTCACAAGACAAAACGTAGTTTTTGTTTTGTAAATATTTTATTCAAAATATTGTTACAACTGTCGTAGGGATTTTAAATGGACATTTAAATGCTTATAAGTACCCCAAGGAGGAATATATAAAAAAGAATTAAAGATTGTAAAACAACAATACCAAGCCGCCTCCTGTCACCCACAGTCAATTTTCTGGGCCTACCTGCGCCTCCATGGTGCTCAATGCCATATCCATTTCCAATATTTTTCAAAACACGATAAACAGTGGACAAAGGGATGTCTGTTCTACTTGAAATCACTTTAGCTGATCTGATGTCCTTGTTATAATACTCTAAAATCAACTTCCTCATCTCTAAATCATCCATACTCAGGATCACTGAAAATGTCGTCTGCTAGCAAGTTAACGAAGGGGGATAACTCTTCACAAACTAATGAAAAAGGATAAACGGAGTTGTCTCTCTTGAATGAAACCAAGCACTTGATAGCTGGTCAAGGTTTTTTATACTAGAAATCCAATTAAACATATTCCTAAAATTCTCAATAATTTCTGGTCATACTATAATAGTAATATTCCAATAATATTAAAGAACATAAAACCTCTTTAGCCAAAGAAGACAGCAAATCAGCTCTCTCAGACAACTAACAGCTATCAAATTCAGTTTCATAAAGTCGAAATCCTATCCACCAAAATTCAGGACCTTGCCAAAAGGTTCTAGCAGCCCGTTCTGCTCCCTTGGGTTGGGTGTAATTGTAAATGTTAGCACTCCTTACAGCAGACGGGTTGAGTCTAGGATGAAAAGAGGTACTAGGGGCCAGGAAGAGGTACTAGGGGCCAGAGAGGTACTAGGGGCCGGTTCTGCTTGGTAGGGGGTGGGTGTAATTGTAAATGTTACTCACTGCTCTTGACATGAGACAGGGGTTTAGTCTGGGCCTGGGATGGGAAGTGGTACTGGATGAAGCAGTCAGTCTCTCCCCACATCATGTTGTCAAACAGCTTCAGATCCCGAATAGCCTCAATCACAACCTCAAACACATGCTCAACTGCAACAGAAACATTTAGGACATGATATGCATTTCTGTATTATCCTGTAGACATCAGCATCATCCGTCAGTGAGTGAAATCACCATCTCTCTTATAATAAGCAATGAGATACTGGTGCCACCATCAACACTTCAAGCATTACTGGTGACGTCTCCTTACCCAACACCCCACAGGTAAGAGCCACTAGAGATATGAATAGTATAAATACCTGCTGAATCCATGGATGGAGGGTGACCATGAGTATCATCATGGGCAGCTATGTCATGTCTGAAACAGAAGTATAGAATAATAATACAATAGGTCACAGGTTGGAGACAGGTGGGTCACAGGTGGGACAATATGGGACAGGTGGGTCACAAGTAGGAGACAGATGAGACAGGTGGCACAGGAAGGAGACAGGTGGGCCACAGGAAGGAGACAGGTGGGTTACAGGTAGGAGACAGGTGGGTCAGGTGGGTCACAGGAAGGAGACAGGTGGGACAGGTGGGTTACAGGTAGGAGACAGGTGGGTCACAGGAAGGAGACAGGTGGGACAGGTTGGTCGCAGGTAGGAGACAGGTGGGACAGGTGGGTTACAGGTGAGACAGGTGGGTCACAGGAAGGAGACAGGTGGGCCACAGGAAGGAGACAGGTGGGTCAGGTGGGTCACAGGAAGGAGACAGTTGGGACAGGTGGGTTACAGGTAGGAGACAGGTGGGTCACAGGAAGGAGACAGGTGGGACAGGTGGGTTACACATAGGAGATTGGTGGGACAGGTGGGCCACAGGTAGGAGACTGGTGGGTTACAGGTAGGAGACAGGTCGGACAGGTGGGTCACAGGAAGGAAACAGGTGGGACAGGTTGGTCGCAGGTAGGAGACAGGTGGGACAGGTTGGTCGCAGGTAGGAGACAGGTGGGACAGGTTGGTCGCGGGTAGGAGACAGGTGGGACAGGTGGGTTACAGGTGAGACAGGTGGGTCACAGGAAGAAGACAGGTGGGTCACAGGTAGGAGACTGGTGGGTCACAGGTAGGAGACAGGTGGGTCACAGGTAGGAGACTGGTGGGATAGGTGGGTTACAGGTAGGAGACTGGTTGGACAGGTGGGTCACAGGTAGGTGACTGGTGGGACAGGTGGGTCACAGGTTGAGAGGCAGGAGAGTAATATTTGAGACACTAGTAGGTGGACCACAAATGAAACAGTGGAAAGACACAGGTGGGTGAAGGTGAGACACCTATTCAGAGACTAGACACAGACATTAGGGACACTTTGCATGAAGTTACACACTCAGCAGACTGTTTGCAGTCCTCTCTTACTTTCATGTTGCATCTTATTGCTGTCCTTACAGCAATTTCCTATCTTGTACCACAGATTTTGCTATGATAAAAATCAAACTACCTCCACAGTATTTGGAAAACTCAAAGAGATTACTTACCTAGTTTTCAACATGGACAATTCTATGCTAATTCTTTTGCATTAACATCAGCATGTGACCAAAACGTACGAGCTGCTGACCAAGAAAGTAATGGAAGATGAAATGACACTTATCCTGTTATCAACACAGTAGCTATCTATCTCAACACACTTTGACATGTTCCTGTTTGACCTACCTATCTTGACATACATTGACATGCTCTTGTTTGACCTATCTTGACATACATTGACATGCTCCTGTTTGACCTATCTTGACATACATTGACATGCTCCTGTTTGACCTATCTTGACATACATTGACATGCTCCTGTTTGACCTATCTTGACATGCTCCTGTTTGACCTACCTATCTTGACATACATTGACATGCTTCTGTTTGACCTACCTATCTTGACATACATTGACATGCTCCTGTTTGACCTGTCTATCTTGACATACATTGACATGCTCCTGTTTGACCTACATTGACATACTCCTGTTTGACCTATCTTGACATACATTGCCAAGCTCCTGTTTGACCTGCCTATCTTGACATTCACTGACATCATTCTGATTGATCTAGCTGTCTCAACATACATCAACATGCTCCTGTTTGACCTACCTCTCCAGACTGTTAAGCGGCCTCTCTGGGATCATCACTGAACCATCTCCATCCTGCTTGATCCGCTGCAGACTTGCAATCTGTACACAACAGTTGGCTGTGAGTCACCCGAGACAATACTGACTCCCGAGGATGGCCAGTTGTAAGTGGCTGATTGTGTGAGCAACAATTTATCTTTGTAAAATGACCTAACTAGGTCACAGGTGTGGGTTGGTCTTTCCTATATGATGCAATTCTACTTATCTTTGATACTCAACAGGGATTTTGACCTTCCACTTTTGGTGATCTCACTAACCGGATTGGACTGAGGATCTTAGATCATTCAAAGCACAAGGCAGAAGTGTTATTTTAAGTTAACAAATTAGTGGTGCGAAACCACTGGAAATTTTCAGGGAATTTATCACGACTTTAAATAAGTACTGGCCAGCATGTGGAGTTAAAGAAACACCCACACATACCTGTTCCGCTGAACCCATTGCTAGCACCAGTCGGAGTTGTCCGAAGTTGAAGCTGGTGAAAGGATCGGTAATGCCGAAGTAGTTGTCCGCCGCAATCACAGGATACTGTCAGGGAAATAACAGCTGTCAAAACTAAACATTGTTCTTCCCTATGTGTGACATGTTTTAGTGGGGATATTTCATATGTGAATAGGTCATGTTTGATTATACCTACATAATGTACCCCTGTTGTACACCTACTGTAAGGAAGGTACATAATGTACCCCTGTTGTACACCTACTGTAAGGAAGGTACATCATGTACCCCTGTTGTACACCTACTGTAACGAAGGTACATAATGTACCCCTGTTGTACACCTACTGTAATGAAGGTACATAATGTACCCGTTGTACACCTACTGTAACAAAGATACATAATGTACCCCTGTTGTACACCTACTGTATGGAAGGTACATAATGTACCCCTGTTGTACATCTACTGTAACGAAGGTACATAATGTACCCGTTGTACACCTGCAAGGAAGGTACATCATGTACCCGTTGTACACCTACTGTATGGAAGGTACATCATGAACCCCTGTTATACATCTACTGCCAGGGAGGTACATCATGTACCCCTGTTGTACATCTACTGCCAGGGAGGTACATCATGTACCCCTGCTGAACACCTACTGTATGGAAGGTAGATAATGTACCCTGTTGTACACTTACTGCCAGCGAGGTACATCCTGTACCCCTGTTGTACACCTACTGCCAGGGAGGTACATCATGTACCCCTGTTTTACACCTACTGCCAGGGAGGTACATCATGTACCTCTGCTGAACACCTACTGTATGGAAGGTACATAATGTACCATGTTGTAAACTTACTGCCGGGAGGTATATCATGTACCCCTGCTGAACACCTACTGTATGGAAGGTACATATTGTACCCCTTTTGTTCACCTACTGTAAGGAAGGTACATAATGTTCCCCTGTTGTACACCAACTGTAAGGAAGGTACATCATGTACCCCAGTTGTACACCTACTGCCAGGGAGATACATCATGTACCCCTGTTGTACACCTACTGCCAGGTAGGTGCATCATGTACCCCTGCTGAACACCTACTGTATGGAAGGTACATAATGTACCCCTGTTTTAACCTACTGTAAGGAAAGTGCATCATGTACCCCTGTTGTACACCTACTGTAAGGAAGGAACATCATGTACCCCTGCTGAACACCTACTGTAAGGAAGGTACATAATGTACCCCTGTTTTAACCTACTGTAACAAAGTTACATCATCTACCCCTGTTATACCCCTACTGCCAGGGAGGTACATCATGTACCACTGTTGTACACCTACTGTAAGGAAGGTACATAATATACCCCTGTTATACTCCTACTGTATGGAAGGTACATCATGTACCCCTGCTGAACACCACCTACTGTATGGAAGGTACATAATGTACCCCTGTTGTACACCTACTGTATGGAAGGTACATAATGTACCCCTGTTGTACACCTACTGCCAGGGAAGGTACATAATGTACCCTGTTGTACACCTACTGTAAAGAAGGTACATAATGTACCCCTTTTGTTCACCTACTGTATGGAAGTTACATAATGGACCCCTGTTATACCCCTACTGTAAGGAAGATACATCATGTACCCCTGTTATACCCCTACTGTAATGAAGGTACATCATGTACTCCTGCTGAACACCTACTGTATGGAATGTACATAATGTACCCCTGTTGTACACCTACTGTAAGAAAGGTACATAATGTACCCCTGTTATACCCCTACTGTATGGAAGGTACATCATGTACCCCTGCTGAACACCTACTGTATGGAATGTATATCATGTACCCCTGCTGAACACCTACTGTATGGAAGGTAGATAATGTACCCTGTTGTACACTTACTGCCAGCGAGGTACATCCTGTACCCCTGTTGTACACCTACTGCCAGGGAGGTACATCATGTACCCGTTTTACACCTACTGCCAGGGAGGTACATCATGTACCTCTGCTGAACACCTACTGTATGGAAGGTACATATTGTACCCCTTTTGTTCACCTACTGTAAGGAAGGTACATAATGTTCCCCTGTTGTACACCAACTGTAAGGAAGGTACATCATGTACCCCTGTTGTACACCTACTGCTAGGGAGATACATCATGTACCCCTGTTGTACACCTACTGCCAGGGAGGTGCATCATGTACCCCTGCTGAACACCTACCGTATGGAAGGTACATAATGTACCCCTGTTTAAAACCTACTGTAACAAAGTTACATCATGTACCCCTGTTATACCCCTACTGCCAGGGAGGTACATCATGTACCACTGTTGTACACCTACTGTAAGGAAGGTACATAATATACCCCTGTTATACCCCTACTGTATGGAAGGTACATAATGTACCCCTGCTGAACACCACCTACTGTATGGAAGGTACATAATGTACCCCTGTTGTACACCTACTGTAAGGAAAGTACATCATGTACCCCTGTTGTACACCTACTGCCAGGAAGGTACATCATGTACCCCTGCTGAACACCTACTGTAAGGAAGGTACATAATGTACCCCTGTTTTAACCTACTGTAACAAAGTTACATCATGTACCCCTGTTATACCCTTACTGCCAGGGAGGTACATCATGTACCACTGTTGTACACCTACTGTATGTAAGGTACATAATGTACCCCTGTTTTAACCTACTGTAAGGAAAGTACATCATGTACCTCTGTTGTACACCTACTGTAAAGAAGGTACATCATGTACCCCTGCTGAATACCTACTGTAAGGAAGGTTAATAATGTACCCGTTATACCCCTACTGTATGGAATGTTCATCATGTACCCCTGTTATACACCTACTGTAAGGAAGGTACATCATGTACCCTGTTATACCCCTACTGTATGGAAGGTACATCATGTACCCCTGCTGAACACCTACTGTAAGGAAGGTACATAATGTACCCCTGTTGTACACCTACTGTAAGGAAGGTACATCATGTACCCCTGCTGAACACTTACTGTAAAGAAGGTACATAATGTACCCTTTTGTTCACCTACTGTATGGAAGTTACATAATGGACCCCTGTTATACACCTACAGTAAGGAAGATACATAATGTACCCCTGTTATACCCCTACTGTATGGAATGTGCATCATGTACCCGTTATACACCTACTGTAAGGAAGGTACATAATGTACCCTGTTATACCCCTACTGTATGGAAGGTACATAATGTACCCCTGCTGAACACCTACTGTAAGGAAGGTACATCATGTACCCCTGTTGTACACCTACTGTAAGGAAGGTAGATCATGTACCCCTGTTATACACCTACTGTATGGAAGGTACATAATGTACCCCTGTTATACCCCTACTGTAAGGAAGGTAGATCATGTACCCCTGTTATACCCCTACTGTATGGAAGGTACATAATGTACCCCTGTTATACCCCTACTGTATGGAATGTACATCATGTACCCCTGTTATACACGTACTGTAAGGAAAGTACATAATGTACCCTGTTATACCCCTACTGTATGGAAGGTACATCATGTACCCCTGCTGAACACCTACTGTATGGAAGGTACATAATGTACCCCTGTTGCACACCTACTGTAAGGAAGGTACGAAATGTACTCTGTTGTACACCTACTTTGATGCCAGTACTAACCTGAGACTTGAAGGAAGGTACATCATGTACTCCTGCTGAACACCTACTGTATGGAAGGTACATAATGTACCCCTGTTGTACACCTACTGTACGGAAGGTACATAATGTACCCCTGTTGTACACCTACTGTAAGGAAGGTACATAATCTACCCCTGTTGTACACCTACTGTAACGCAGGTACATAATCTACCCCTGTTGTACACCTACTGTAAGGAAGGTACGTAATGTACCGTTGTACACCTACTTTGATGCCAGTACTAACCTGAGACTTGAGGAGGGCGTTGGCCACCTTCTGATCACGGAAGGACATGTAGAACTGATGAAGACTTAGCTTCACCATACCTATCAGCTGGAAAGAAAAACCAAGACAAATTAACACACTATTTAAAGACTAAAAATAACATTATAACAATATACAAAACTATTTTCCATCTAGAATTATTGAACAGAAACAGAGGGAAAGAGTTGTTATGTGTAATATTCATGGTGCAAAGTTGCATTCCTCATCACCGTCTTTATCACCCAATAATTATAGGTTAGTGAGCACCACACCTGTGCTTGTGGATTTCACGAGTCTTTGTCACCGCCAGTGTTTTCATCGTATCATAACTGAAACATTTTCCATTGGGTTTCAAAACGCTTTCTATCACTGTGACATCCTACCTTGTCATCACCAGCTGCTGTCTTCTTGTCCCACACTTCAATCACCAGGAAGTTGTTCCTCATTCGCTCTAACAATGCTGGGCTCAGCAGAACAGGAGCAACCTTCACACAGGAACAGATATATCACACTGTGTCACACACCAACCTTCACACAGGAGCAGATATAATCACACTGTGTCACACGCCAGCCTTCACACAGGACTGACTGACTGACTGAGTTTAGTTTCACGCCGCTTTTAGCAATATTCCAGCAATATCACGGCGGGGGACACCAGAAATGGGCTTAACACTTCACACAGGAGCAGATATAATCACACTGTGTTACACGCCAGCCTTCACACAGGAGCAGATATAATCACACTGTGTCATACGCCAGCCTTCACACAGGAGCAGATATAATCACACTGTGTCACACGCCAGCCTTCACACAGGAGCAGATATAATCACACTGTGTCACACGCCAGCCTTCACACAGGAACGGATATATCACACTGTGTCACACACCAACCTTCACACAAGAACATGGTTTAGTCTACTTTAGCTTTAGGGAAGGTATCTACGACCTGAAAGACCTGTCTACTCTACCTGTAGGAAGTTGAACTGTGGCTGAAGCGTGCCCCAGCAGACTGAGGAATGAACAGCATCTTTACACCAGAACATCCGACACACAAGGTAGGAGTTCCGTGTTGAGAGATCTCGAGCACCAGCACCTCGCGGGAGATAAACAATACAACCATCATAATACTACAAACAGACTTCCAGCATCACATAGCAACATTTGCGGGCGGGGAGAGGTGCAGACATTTATATTAAGTTTAACACTCAGATGATGTGGGGTGAGGAGGGATTTGGTGTAACAGTGTGATCAGTTAATGCTGTGTTCATCTCTGACATCACTGTTTAGTTCTATGCAGGTGACTATTTGTTGTAGCTGCAAGTTCACTGACCTGGCGTAGGTGGAGGCTGTTGCATCAGCATGGGTAAGCCTGTTGACCAGGTGAAGAGGGGCACTCCTGTAGACTGAGGTTTTGTATGTAATTTTTGAGTAAAATTGATATTTTATACTTATCCTGACTCATGCTCTTTTGCTTGTCTTCTTCTTCTTCTTGCGAACATAGTGGAAACACTTGTATCTCCCTAATTGAAGTTCCTTCAATAAAGAAATCACTAATTAGTACACACCACGAGTTACCTCCCCTTCCACAAGCTGGGAACGAGGGCGCCACCTCCACCCATGTGCCTCACTCTCTCCTCATATACTGAGCCCAACATTTGAATTTTCAGGGAAATCCAAAGTGTTATGTGGGGAGGATGGGAGGGCTTACCTCATGAGTCAGGATAAGTATAAAATATCAATTTTACTCAAAAAATTACATATTTTTCCTTATCCTGACTCATGCTCTTTTGCTTGTAGTATCCGACGGAAAAGGAGGTGGGAATATATAATACTTTGGATTTTAATAATTAGTGATTTGAATTGTGATGATTGTAATAACCCTATGGGAACTTCATAAAGGCATTGAACTGATGAATTCCTGCTGCTAACTTATCAGCTGCCATATAAAGGTTATTACAATTTACTTACTTATTATGAGAAAGGTATATATAACATTAATACAATGCTTAAGACTAATAGACTTAAGCTTGTTAATATGATAGCATAAACTCCTTAGAGTTTGTTAGCTAAAATACTTTATGATATAAACATAGTACTGAGTTTAAGGTATGATTAAACTGAAGCTAAATATGTGATAGCAAAAAAACTCCTTAGAGTTTATTAGCTAATATACTTATATGATATAAAAATAGTACTGAGCTTAAGATATGATGAAACTTAAGCTAAATATATAATAGCAAAAACCTCCTTAGAGTTTATTAGCTAATATACTTTTATGATATAAACACAGTACTGAGCTTAAGATATGATTAAACTTAAGCTATATATATAATAGCAAAAACTCCATAGAGTTTGTTAGCTAATACATTTTATAAAGTAACCATAAAGCTTAAGATATGAAGAAACTTAAGCTAAATATATAATAGCAAAAACTCCTTAGAGTTTATTAGCTAATATACTTTATGATATGAGTATAGTACTGTGCTTAAGATATAATTAACTTAAGCTACCTAAATAGCCAAAACAACTCCGTAGAGTTTGTTAGGTAATACATTTTATAATGTAACCATAATGCTTAAGATATTATGAAACTTAAGCTAAATATATAATAGCAAAAAAAACTCTTCAGAGTTTGTTAGCTAAAATACTTATATGATATAACATAGTACTGAGCTTAAGATATGACTAAACTTAAGCTACATATATAATAGCAAAAAACTCCGTAGAGTTTGTTAGCTAATACATTTTATAATGTACCTATAATGCTTAAGATATGATGAATACTTAAGCTAAATATATAATAGCAAAAAACTCTTTAGAGTTTGTTAGCTAATATACTCTTATATGATATAAACATGTTATATAGTACTGGGCTTAAGATATGAATTAACTCTTCAAGCTACATATATAATAGCAAAAACTCCGTAGAGTTTGTTAGCTAATACATGTTATAATGTAACCATAATGCTTAAGATATGATAAAACTTAAGCAAAATATATAATAGCAAAAACTCTTGAGAGTTTGTTAGCTAATATACTTATAAGATATAAACATAATACTGAGCTTAAGATATGAATAAACTTAAGCTACATATATAATAGCAAAAACTCTGTAGAGTTTGTTAGCTAATACATTATAATGTAACCATAGAACTGAGCTTAAGATATGATTAACTTAAGCTAAATATATATAACAAACTCCATAGAGTTGTTAGCTTATATATAGTATGATATAAACACCATAGTACTGAGCTTAAGATAAATAAATTAAACTTAAGCAAAATATATAGATAGCATGTATCTATTAGTACTGTTATCCGATAAGTATAAAATCTGTAAGATAGACTTATCTTCTCCTTGGAACTGTCAACTGTTGAGCGAGGACCATGGGACCGAATGGTGGATACCTGAGACGTCCTTGGTGGTGATATCTCTCAGATAGTGGTTGGCAAACACCATATCGGAACTCCAGAAACATCCCTCCATTAAGGTATTTTTAACGAGCAATTCCCATGTAGAGCGAGAGTTGAAGCTAGAGCTCTAATTTCGTGAGGATTCGAAGCTCTTGGGAGGTCGGGTCCTGCAGCCTTGTAGGCATGTAGTATGACAGTTCTGATCCAGATAGAGATAGTAGTACGTAAGACTTCCGTCTGTGTAGCTGTAGATATAGGGATAAATAATCTCTTGAAAATCCCTCTGCTGTTTGGATCGTTGGAGATTTATTTACAGTGACATAGTGATAGATCCATCGTATCATGCGGTCCAAGTATGGATGAGAAAAAAAACAAAACTGGGACGTGGAATAATCTGTCTGGTTGACCTGGCAGTTGGTTTTTTCACTATAAGATCCCAGTGAAGTCCCAGATGAGCTATGTTATGAATATCATCAAAGCGTGATTTCTCGTAATCCAGTGTGTGAATCTGACATCCTGGTGGGCGTAACTAGTGTTATGGCCGAGACAGAGCGTCTGCTAATACATTCTATGCTCCTGGAATGTGGTAAGTACTGACGTGTATGTTTAGATTGTCGATTAGATCGAACAGTCTGAAACATCGAGTCCGTAGGATCTGTGACCTAGTTGAACCTTGTATGTTCACATAAAATACACCACTGTTGAATTGTCTGTGTGAACCATCAGCTGAGCGTTCTGTAGTAGGTTGCTCCAGTGACTTATGGCGTTAATAACTGCTTGCATCTCTAGCAGATTATGTGACATTTGCTCTCTTGATTGTTCCATAGACCTGACGCTGTCCTGCCGGTAAGGTGGGCTCCCCAACCTTGTAGTGACGCGTCTGCGTACAGATGTGTTAACAAATCTGGCTCTAGTAAGGAGACGCCTGCGCAAACATACAATCTCTTGGTCTTGATGATGAAATTCAACTGTAGTCTGAGACGCTGTGTATTTGGATCCACTTGTATACCGTCGTCGAGGAAAATTCGCTGCGAAGTCCTTGATGATGTAGGTGCACAACTAGGGTTGACTGCCCTCGTTGAACTTATGTAAAAAATTGCCTGACTGCCGTGTCCTCGTCCTTACTAGACAGGGGAGGTCTCTAACCTCAAGAAGGCAGCCCAATCATGAAGGTTCAGATTAGCTGGACTGTAAGGAGGCTTGCTCGTTCACTGATATAATGTTGTCACTTGCAACCTAAGTCTTGAACTGTGAACTATGATCGACCTCTGCGTAGGGCGTTGTCCATCATGATCCAATCAGAACAAGGCATTTTGATTCTGTAAAGTACCAGCTGTGATGTCACTGGTGTAGCAGGAAAAGGAACCTTGTATAATATAGTGCCGTCGTTGATATTAGAACAATCGTCGGTCTTTACAAGCTTCGAAGTTACCCAGTGACCACGTGTATCGAGAGTTGATGATAAACGCGCAAACTTCTGGCGCGAAATACCTCGCTCTGTAATATTAATGCTGGGTAGGTTATTTTCCTGGCTGTCGTGAAAGTAACTTCAGACTTGAAGATAATTCCAACTTCCTTATATAAAGGTACAATAAACTTGCAAGTTTGTCAGCTTGTAGACTGTATACATGAATGTATCGTCATAATTGTAGAATTAAAGCTGAACTTGTTGTACATATTTCTTCTCAAAAAACCATTGACGATTATGAGTTATACTCGCTGTAACAAGGCTGCTGATCAATTTCGAAATTGAATCGTCTGCAGATGTGCGTAATGGTCACGCATGTAGATAATTGTATGCGTAGTCGGGATTACATATCTAGCAATCTATCACGAGGAAAAGTTGATTCTTGTGCAGATCTATGAAACGTCGTTGACTAATTAATACGACCTTCTGTGTTGTAAATAGCCTGTGCAAATTTCTTGCGTAAGCTTGTAGATGGCATATGGCATACAGTTGATAGACAACTCATGCAATGTCTTGAGCGGACTGGCGTGGCTATATATATGGCGGATGGCTAGTATATGGCGACCTTGGAGGAGACTTCCTCACGGACGCCCGGTGACTTTATGAAGCTCTCGAAGTATCCCTTCTAGATCTTCTGGGTGAAGTAGACTTGGAGCCACTTAGCCTTAGCGACCTTGGCGAGTGTCGAGTCAGAGCCCGATCAATATATATGAGTGCTTGCCCGGCGTCGACCTCTGTGTTCTACAGGGTGTGGGTTGGTGGCCTACTCCTCCGTGGCGTCCCTTGCAACTGGTGAGGCTCTAAGCTCCGCCCGTGGGCGGCCTGGGACTTCCTTAAGCGAAGTGTCTAGAGTCCGAATAATATATGGCTTGCCCGGCGACCTCTGTGTTTACAGGGGTGTGTGGGCTCGTGGCGCTCCCCTCCGCCATGTCCCTACCGCAACTGGAAGGCTCTGGCTCCTTCACGGAGACGGCCTGGGACTTTCCTTAGCGAAGTGTTCGCTATGGGCTGGGTTGCCCTTTGCGGAGGCTTTTCCCTGGGCGACAAGTTACTGATGCCCTTCATGAAGACCTTCGCGAAGCTTCATCTGCGTCCAGTCCTGGGAAGGCGGCGACCGACCTTCATGAAGGCTTTCGTGAAGTCTGGGAAGTCCGCTGGCGTTGATCATCGGCGTCCAAGGTAGGTGGTGATCTAGTTGTCGCCGTGAAGGCTTTCGGCGAATGCTGAACATCTGGGTCCGTGGAGGTGGGCTGTGGCGACCTTCCGAAGGTAACCCTGAAACGATGGTTTTGTAGCAGTCCCTCTGATGTGGCGTCGTTGGAGAGCCAGCGAAGGCTCGAGGCTGGTTACCTCTCCAGACCGTAGCAGTCTTACACCATCTTCATAATCTGGCGCATCAGGTTGTCTGGGGCGATCTGCGATGAAGTAGTTGCTGCCCTATCTGCGTTGGTAGCGACAGGACCCTCGATGAGGAAGATCATCGGACATCGGGCCTCAGGTACATCAGGCTGCATGTTGATCTGCGCTGACCTCACTGTTGCTGACATTGGTCATTCTTTGATGTACATCAGGTATGATGATCGGCTCATCATCATACAGGCCCAAATCTCGACAGGAACAATCTCGGCTGAGAAAGTCTAGCAGACCGTTGAAATTCCCCTCAGAGGTCGGCGCTGCCTGGAAGTGCAGAGTCTGCGTTGCGATGAAGTAAAACCCTCTAGTCTTGGATGCGGACGGCGGGATGTCTGGGGAAGCAGGGGGCTTCTTGGAAGCGGACTTCGTCCCATGCCTTTCCACCGCTCTAGAGGAACACCAGGCGGAGGGTGCGACCAACAGCAGTAGACTGGCGAGGGGTCAGGTGTATCAGTCATGGCTAGACTCTGCTTACGTGACCTATCTGCTCGCGTGGCGTCTCAAAGCATAAAGATGATATTTATAAAATGCAGAATTAGATAAGATTAATACAGTAACTGCAGCGTGAATAAAAGCGCAAAAGCGTGCGCAGTACAGCTAGGGCATATTAAATGCGGGTCAGCAGCAGAAAACCGTAAGATTTTCATCAACGTAAACTAGCTTAACAATCACGGAAATCCGTGAATAAACCGTAGAAAAACGAATAATTATCAATACATATTGATGAAGGATACTAGCTACACCTCTATAGTAAACTATAAGAGGTAATTAAGTAAAAAATAACCAAAGGATATAGTGTGTAGGGAGACACAGGTGCTCTCACTTCCTGCTCATTGGGCGAAGAAGGAGAGAGTGAGGCACATGGGTGGAGGTGGCGCCCTCATTCCCGCGCTGGGTGAGTACTAATTAGTGATTTCTTTATTGAAGGGAACTTCAATTAGGGAGATACAAGTGTTTCCACTATGTTCGCAAGAAGAAGAAGACAAGCAAAAGAGCATGAGTCAGGATAAGGAAAAATTATGCATTTTCCGGCTGAAAATGTCCTGTGACAGTTGTATCAATGTTTCTGAATAAAAATATTGTACAATAAATAAAAATCTTTTTATTTATTATACGGCCCCCACCTCGTGGAGTTACCTCCCGTTGTGCATGCGCACCAACTGGGTAAGCACCTAGGCCCGTATCATCATTCCTTCTGCTGAATAAATCAGTGAACAGAATTGCGGGGAGGCGGGATGCCCTACCCCAAGGACGACTCTCTTCAAAGAATTGAAAACCTCTTCAGGTTTGGTTAATTCTTTTCATAGAGATGATCGTCCTTGGGGTATAATATCATAAACACAGACTCCCCAAAGACCGGAGGCCAGGGGGAGGAGGAATTCTGTCAAAGCACATACAAATAGCGATTGTTAATCTGAATAATGTAACAGCGCCATAATCACTCACCTGTCACATGTCGGTTTACAGGCTTCCTTGAGAGGCATTATGGGAGGGTAACCGACAGGAGGAAATGTACTCATAGACAACCTCGCAGGTTAGCATAAGAATTAAGCATGTGGTGCGAATGTAAACAAACCCACCACCTTGTGGTCAATTAGAAACACCGTGAGAAGCAGCTCCACGCGACCGACCATAGTCTCCGTAGAGGATCGAAGGAGGTTATACACCCAGCAGCGGACATGTCAATAAAACACAATATTGAATAGCAGCGTCAACAAAACCAATGAACCAAGACGATGGTCAGGGTGGCAGGACACTGTCACCGAGAGAAAACGGCCAAAGCTCGCATGCGATTCACGAGAATGTGTATCCAGAAGCTGATAGTGCGAATAAGCGTGCTAGGCGGCTCCAAATGGCGGCAGAGCAGATCTCTTCAATGGGGAGTGCGATGCAAAAGCTTTTGGCGTGGCTACTGCCCTGACCGAGTGAGCCTTCAACCCCTCAGGGGGAGGCTTGCCCTTAGCCTGATATGCAGCACAAATGACCGAGACGAGCCAGCGAGACAAAGTATGCTTGCTCGCTGGCACACCAGCCTTCCCGCCACCGTAACAACAGAACAGATTGGTACCCGTACGGATCCCTGTGTTCGTTTGATATAGACCTTGAGAGTCTTCACGGACATCAGCGGGTGGCGCTTCGTAGGAGGAGGTCCCGATGTGGAAGGCTGGGTAAGAGTAGGAAGTTTGATAGGAGCTGTCACATGGAAGCGTGATCGACCTTCGGGCGGTAGAAGTATCGGGGCGAATACTGACCGCGATCAGTGTGGAACACAGTCAGCGCCCGGGTCGGACGACATAGCATGTAAAGTCGCCAACCCTACGCCAGATGTTACGCCACCAGAAATACAGCCTTCCAGGTTAACAACTGAATGGAAATAGGCCGATAGGTGTGAGAGCGTAGGACGGACAGCTAATCGAGCACAATTGACAAATCAAGGTGGGATGGTTAAGCCTGACAGCAGGTGAACCCGATCCACGCCAGCTAAAAGCGCTGTATGCGAGAGAGGTGCCCCAGAAGAGCACCATCGACAGGGTGTGAAAAGTGGAAATAGCGATGGGTAGCCACGAATGGTGTTGGAAACCCGCCAGGCCTTCTTCCAAGCGAGCTTGCAAAAACTCAATACTGGGACTAAATCCAGAAAAAGGGATCTGCAATGCGCCTATCTGAACACCAGAGCATGGCGGGACCACCTATCCTCGTACTGAGCGTTTGTGAATCCGCCTCCAAGCCAGAATTGTGTCTGCAACTGCTGCAGGAATTCCGCGTGCCTCGAGGCTAGACCTGACAGAGGCCAAGCCACCCATTGAATCCGTGGATTGGGGTGTGGCGCGCCATTCTGAGTGAGAATGTCACTGGTCGCAAAGGTAATAGAACAGGGGGCTGAGCCTGAGAAATACCGGAAACCAGCTCTGTGACAGCCAAAGCGATGCCAGTAGCACAAGCAGCCGGGCTGGCTGGGTGGACAGCTGAGAGAGGACACGGGGAGTGAGTGGTAACGGCGGGAACTCCCAGAGCACTTTGCCCGTCCAATCCAGCAGGAAGGCGTCGGCAGCTAACGCCCTCGGGACCGAAATTCGAGAGCAGAACACGGGTGTCTGATTCGTCCCGCCGGACGCAAACAGATCCACCTGGAACGACCTGTACAACTGGGAGATAACTCTGAATATCTGCCGTTCGAGCATCCACTCGTGCGGGGCCAGGATCCGCGAGAGAAGGCGTCTGCTGCGCGCCGTTCTCAACCCGGGGAAATAAACAGGAGTACCTGACAATGCGCACTGGTAGCACCAGAGGAGAAAGTCCCATGTCTCCGGAGGCTATTTCGGGACACCGTACCGCGCTTGTTTCAGGATATGCGACACATAGCCGTCTGGTTGTCCAACTGAAGGCGAACCACCTGGCCCTGGACATGCTCTCGAGGCGCTTCGAAAACCAACCGCGCACAGCTCTCAGTTCCAAACGTTGATGTGAAGGTGGGCTTGAAACTTCGGACCAGAGTCCGGACGCCGACAGACTGCCCAGAACACACCCCAGCCCGTGAGGGCGCGCTCGGTCTGAACTGTAGAGCTGGCGTCGGGGGATTTCAAAGGGGACCCCCTTGGAGAGATTCCCGACATTGGTCCACCACTGAAGGTGAGGAGACAACCACCGGGGACTGTGAGACTCGCTCCAGGTCCTCTGAGTGAACCCTGAACTTCGCCAAAGCTTGCTGTATAGAGCATCCTCAACCGCGCCCGCCACACTACAGAGATAGTAAGCCACCATGGCCCAGTACTGCGAGCCAAGTCCGTGCTGGTGCCTGGGGCTGGGAGAGAGAGCGAAGACACCATCTCCCATACTCTGGTGATACGGTCGGGCAACAAGGAAACAAGATCCTTGAGTTTGGAACCTCGCCCTGAGAAAAACCAAGACCTGGATGGGTACCAGGTCGGAGTTCTTGAGGTTGAGGATCCACCCCAGTCGAACTAGAATGTCTATCACCTTGTGAGTAGAATCTAGGCTCGCTGGCTGTGTCAGTGCACCAAGCAACCAGTCGTCCCGGTAGGGGTAACAACGCCTTCCTTGCGAACGAGCGAGGGTAGCTGGCACTAACATGAGCTTGGTGAACACCCTGGGGGCAGTGGATATGCCGAAGGGGAGCACCGTGAATTGGTAATACATAAGAGAACCGAAGGTACTGCTTGAACGATGGATGTATGGGCACATGCAGATACTCATCCTTGAGGTCGATTGACGTGAGCCAATCGCCGGGCTGAACAGAGGAGATCACCGAGCGCAGTGTCTCCATCTTGAAGGATGGAACTTCGAGCATGCGATTCAACCCCTTGAGGTTGAGAATGGGACGGAACCCGCCGTCTTTCTTTGGAACGAGGAAGTACGTGGAGTAAAATCCTGCCTGTTCCTCGCCCGGTGGTATGCGCTCTATAGCGGATTTGTCCAGCAAAGCCTGGACTTCGTCGCACAGTATGTCTGCCCATACCTGACATGACGGCACCGGAGTGCGGCGGACCTCAATTCCACAGTGGTAAATGGCCGACACTGACGGTGGACAGCACCCAAATGTTGCTTGTAGCCTTCTCCCACTCTGGCAGGAATAGAGAGAGGCAGCCTCCCACTGGGACGTTGGGTAAGAGTGCGTGAGTGGTCCTGAGTAGCGGAGCTGACTGGGAGTGACACACGTCGACAGCCTGATGGGTTAACGGGAGGTCGGGGCAGACCTCCCGCGCCCGCGTAAAGGCTGGGAGCCAGTCGAAGAGGACTGCGCCTTGCCCTTACCCTGGGCGGGACGGCTCCTCTGCCTACCCCTGCCAAGCGGCCGAAGCCAGCCAGCAGACTCGGGTGTAGGGTGCACCCCGGAGGAGGAAGCCGGAACAGGAGCGCGGGGGCGAGAAGCCCGCGGCTGCTCCAACAAGGCCTTGGAGTCCTTGAAGGAGGTAGCTGCAGTGGCAGCCTCCGGGATGACCTGCTGGGCCCCAGGAAACAGCGTCGCTCCCAGACGATAGGGGAGGGCCAGCAAGGTCTGCAGTGTAGCCGCCGAGTACCGAGACGTCGACAGCCACAGCTTGCGCATCCCCCTGCGCACATCACCGTCGTCGCGGCCGACGGCAAGGAGTCGCGCGCGAGGTGGGCCTGCACTTCGGAAAGTTGACGGAGGAGAACAACATGCTGAGAAACGTCTCCAGCATACCCCTCCGCCTCCAGGGCCGACCTCTGAATCAAGGAGAGGTAGGCCTCGTGGACCACCACCCGCACCTGCTGCATAGCGTTCCGGTAAACCTCCTCGTAGGTCCGGTAAGCATGCCGCAGGGGGGTGACCGCGAGGGCAAAAGGTGGCGTCAAACGCCCTTGCCTGGCAGCCGGAGATGCTCCGGTGGAAGCTGAGCCTCCCCCCAGGGCGACCGAATTGAACACGGCAGAAGGACGGCAGAATGCGGAGCAGCGTCTGCGTGGGTTGCCTAGGGGCAAACGCCTCGCCTGGTAAGCGGAACTCAGTCGAATCCGAGCGGCTGGTAGGCACCGCGGCCTGGGGAATGTACTCGGCAATGCGTAGCCGGACTTCCTTCAGAACCGTCGAGAAACGGAAGGCACCCTCTGGCTCCTCGACCTCCCCAATATCCATGGACTCGGCGCCCGAGCCCGAGTCCGAGGCTTGGTCTCCTCGCGAAGAGGACCCGAACCCCGACTCGGTGGGCGGCCGCGCACCAGACGCAGAGGGAAGGGAAGAACTGAAGCAGCGCCCTGCTCCAGTGCCCGACACCACGCTCGAACTCCGGTCCCGAGATGCAGGAGGAAGACTAGGCAAAACTGGTACCTCCGCTCTCATGGGGCGGGACGGCGCAGGGACCGGAACCCCAGGAATCCTCAACGGACCCTGCGCCAACTCCGAGAGGGGGACTAGGGAGTCAACGGACTCGTGAACAAGGGACTTCACCGAGTCCATGTGCTGCTGGAATAATTGCGTGATTAGAGACATGTCGAAACCGCTAGGAGCAGTGGAAGGCGACTGACTGCGCGATCTAGCCTTTCTGCCTTTACTTTTTGGCTTTTTAGCTTTAGACAGGGGGACCTGGGTCAGTTCCCCTCCCGGCTCTCGGATTTCCCAATAGAAGAGAAAGTCTGCAGCCCGCCTCTTCTGGGCTCGGGGGGAGAAGCCATACATATCTACGCCTTAGCGTCAGGGTATAGCCGCCTTTTCAAGGCACACTAGACACTTATCATGGCCGGTCTGCAAGAGGAATACTGCCTGCCCAGACAGTACAACCGAAAACTCCTAAAAGCAATCTACGCAACCATGTAGCTAACAGCGGACCAGCAGCATAATATACATGTACAAAACATTGAAAAATACGTGAATCGACCACGGGGAAGAAATAGTAGGTTTAAACGCAATATTACAACCCGTGCCACATAAAACTTCCGCCATGGAATAGCAACACGTCGTAAACCACGGGAAAGTTAAGCGTAAAATAAGGAATACAAAGTCACAATTATGAGACAACCGAACCGCCAAAGCCTTACTGTTCCTTTGAAGGACAATATAAAGACCATACATACAGGTGGTGGTGTCCCAGACATCAGTCTCTTAACTTCAAAGAGTTCAGCTCTGCCGCGACATCCATTATCACGGCGGTGACAGCAGAAGGAATGATGATCGGGTCTAGGTGCTAAGCAGTTGGTGCGTATGCGCTTGGAGGTAACTCCACGAGGTGGGGGCGTATAATAAATAAAAAGATTTGTATTTATTGGTACAATATTTTTTATTCAAAAAACATTGATACAACTGTCTGGGACATTTTCAGCGGAAAATGCATAATATGTAATACAAGGACCGATCTCTATGAAAAAGAATGTCTTGCTGCTGCTGGCATCATAATCATCAAAATCATGATGATCATCATCATCACCATCTATAGTCAAAGTTGTCATTAACCCTTTCTAAAACGAGATTATGATGGAACTGGTAGAAATAAGAACTCACTTCTGGTTGGTTGTTGGTTTGGGGCTGACTGACAGTCTGCAGCTGGACGGAATGGAGTTGCTGTAGATGATTGACTGATGATATCTGAGCAATGCTGGAGGTATCGTTGTTGAAAGGTTGTGAAATATGATTGGATGATTGAGCTGATAATGAAGGCATTGGTTTGCTTTCTTGAGAAGACGACGACTGGGCAAGGAAATCTGAAAAAATATGTCCCGTTCATGAATACTACAATAACCTCTTTATATACATAGAGCTAAATATGTCCCTTAAATGATAAAGAATCTATTCCAGAAAACATGAATATTAGTCATCTTGACACTATACCACGCAAAACATTAGGCCTCTGAAATATTGAATTGAAATTCACAGAGACTGAACATGTTATCAGATAGTGGCTATCACAACATGTTATCACAGAAACCACACAATATGTCATCAAAGACACATAATAGAGTGTGATATAAGACAGCAGCCCCACAGTAAGCTATAAGAGACTAACAAACATAAACACACATGCTACAAGAACACAGAAGTTACTATGTTGACAGGCTGTTAATTGATAGAGACAAATAATCCAATATCCCCAATGATAACACCTCACCTGCATGCCTGGCCTGCACTACAAATGGTGGAGGAGGGAGAGAGTTGAGGCTGCCGGCTGTCTGAGACGATGGAGCAGGTTCGGGGATCGGAACTATCTTTGCCTTGCCACTCATCTCCACCAGCTTGGTCTTAGCAAGAGCCGTAGCAAACTCCCGGTGATCCGAGGCTAGCTCCACCACCGTCTAAAGTTGTAACGATAATTGAGTATTTACAGGCATTCAGAAGATTGACAGAATTAACACAAGGAATATTATGGCTGAAATGATTTTTACTGTACATGCACACTGCTCCAGGGCTAAATCCTGTACCTTCATCAGATGATACATTATATGATAATTATAGGGACACAATGTTCAAAATGGTATATACAGAAACTCTTATAACAAGTTTCAGTCTTTTCTGCAAATGTATCCTATTTTCAACTCAATATCCAATGATAATCCACATTATGGTCTGATCTGACTCTGTGGGAACTTGACAGCATTCTCAACATGCATTCTTGCTGACCCAGCTATCAGTTTATAATCATATCTCACCTTGAGATGCCCGAAGACTCCACACAGACTATTGTGGCGCAGTGAGGAGTTGAGGGATGAATTTCTACTGGACTCCCTGACCTCCAGCTGCCGGTCACTGCACAGACTGTCCGACTTGAGGATGGACTTAAGGGACACTCCGCACGACCCCACCGGTGTTGGCTAGCAGGACACAGTCAAACATAGTAGGTCATTTGTCAAAAACATAATGAGAGTGTGTTTTTACACACTATCCAACAGTATTTCAGCTACATGCTGTCAGCCTGTAAATGATGAAGGTTGACCAGAACACCAGCGGTCACTATCCATACCAGGGGTACAGTGACACACTGTCAACCAGGGCCTCCTGGCACAAAGCACTAAGGTGATTCTAAGTCACTAAGATAACCTTAGTGCAATGTTAAAGAATAGGAGTAAAGGTTAACCTTAGTAAAGGTTACTATGTGAAAGGAGTCCCAGGTCTCATCTATCTATACCAGGGGTACAGTGACACACTATCAACCGGGACACATCTATCCATACCAGGGATACAGTGACACACTATCAACCTGGACACATCTATCTATACCAGGGGTACAGTGACACACTATCAACCTGGACACATCTATCTATACCAGGGGTACAGTGACACACTATCAACCAGGTCACGCCTATCCATACCAGGGGCTCCTTCATGAAGCAATCTTTACTAAGGTTAACCTTAATTCCCATTCTTTAACATTGCACTAAGGTTACCTTAGCTGACTTACGATCACACTTAGTGCTTTGTGAAAGGAGGCCCAGGGTAACAGTAAGACTCTATCAACCAGGTCACATCTATCCATACCAGGGGTACAGTTACACGCTGTCAACCAGGTCTCATCTATCCATACCAGGGGTACAGTTACACGCTGTCAACCAGGTCTCATCTATCCATACCAGGAGTACAGTGACACGCTGTCAACCAGGTCTCACCTATCCATACCAGGGGTACAGTTACACGTTGTCAACCAGGTCACACCTATCCATACCAGGGGTACAGTTACACGTTGTCAACCAGGTCACATCTATCCATACCAGGGGTACAGTTACACGTTGTCAACCAGGTCACATCTATCCATACCAGGGGTACAGTTACGCGTTGTCAACCAGGTCACATCTATCCATACCAGGGGTACAGTTACACGCTGTCAACCAGGTCTCATCTATCCATACCAGGGGTACAGTTACACGCTGTCAACCAGGTCACATCTATCCATACCAGGGGTACAGTTACACGCTGTCAACCAGGTCACATCTATCCATACCAGGGGTACAGTGACACGCTGTCAACCAGGTCACATCTATCCATACCAGGGGTACAGTTACACGTTGTCAACCAGGTCACATCTATCCATACCAGGGATACAGTGACACTCTGCCAACCAGGTCTCATCTATCCATACCAGGCTGTACAGTGACGCATTGTCAACCAGGGGAAGCATGAAGCTTTTTCTACCTCAAAATTCCCAGGCTGATTAATCAACATTATCTTTTCCAATCTAATTACTGACCATATTGTGTTTGATTAAAGTCATTAGTTATCAGTCTTAATCAGTCATTGGAGAGACAAATTGTTTACAGTGAAACTTACAATCTTCTGTCCTGCCTCTCTGGAGAAGACTTTAAACACAAGCGCAGATTTCCACCATTTCTCAATGGAGCTGCCATCAAACATGATGGGGAAAACGGACCGATGACTGAATGTCACGACTGAAACACCAAAAAGAGCAGTTGATTTCCACGTCATGTTGGGGGCGTGAGTGAATGTGCATCAACACTCCAGTCAGCAATATTCCAACGATATCACAGCAGCCTGTACATAGTCTAGGGTGAACCAGGCCATCAAGTCAGACAATTACAGCTGCCTGATCTACCAACTCATACTCAACATCGGTTCGAGCACACTCTCACTCTGTAGTGAGTGAGTGAGCTTAGCTTTACACCGCACTCAGCAATATTCCAGCTATATGGCGGTGGTCTGTATATAATCGAACCTGGACGAGACATTCCAGTGATCAACGGCATGAGCATCGATCTTCGCAATTGGGAACCAATGACATATGTCAACCAAGCCAGCGAGCCTGACCACCCGATACCTTTAGTCGCCTCTAACGACAAGCATGGGTTACTGAAGATTAATTCTAACCCAGACCTTCACGGGTTCGAACTCTGCATCCCTGCAGAAGCCATATTAATGGAATTTCTGTTTAGTACTGTCACAGTAACAAAACATGCCATTAAACCTGTCCACATTTCCAGTATTTGATTAATTATGACAAATTAAAGAAAAGAGGAGCTGAAGTGACATATTAAGTCAAAGGATTATCTACAACTAGGAGATGTGAACATTTTGGATATCGGGTTTGTGCGGAAGGCTGAGTTAAAGACTCAAAGTGGACAAAACTGACTGTACCATTATTTTTAATGTTCTTGGAAGCCACTCTCATGACCTCTGTTGCCATGGTATTGGGTGAGTATTTGTCTCTGGAGGTCGCCACAACTGGAAACTGATATTCTATGAAGTAGGTGCTGTAACATGAGAAGGAAACAATACAATGTCATCCATCTAACACCATGAAGAGATTTTACACTGTTGATACCAATACTCAATCACTTGGTGTGTGCACATACATGCAAGTGTGTGAGTAAGTGTGTGCAAGTGTTTAATGAATAAGCTCTAAAGTGGGAAATAATTTCTACCAAGGTTTTTTCGACTTGCTGGTTGGTCTGGGTGGTTTTCCTTTCCGTTTTCCTTTGTTTGCCTTGCTGCTCTGGTTGCTGACAAGTGACGTGTCCTGATCCACATGCAAGGTTAGCGTATCCACACTGACCCGTGCCACATGGACGCGTCCGAGTAGCGTCAGTCTCTCCACACTCAGTCCATCCACTGTCTTTGACTTGGGAACGTCTGCGAGTAGAAGAAACATTCTCGTTTTTCAATGATATACTATCAGAATACTTGTATCAACACATTTAATCAAATACTGATACTGATCACATACTTTGACATACAACACACATCACTATTCACATACATGGCTGCAAGGTGCTCACCTTGGATTGGGTCATCTACATCTGATGCATGCCATGTCGAAGGACACACAGACACCTCTGACCTTGGGGTACTTGGAACATCATTGTCACTTGCATCACTAGCACTACTGGCTCTCTGTCTCAACTTAGAACGTGTTCTTGTTCTTGATCTTGATCTTGAATGTGACGATGACCTTGACCTCTGAACCTTACAACCTTTGGTTTTTTCTCTTGTCCTCAACTTTTTTCGAGTTTTTGAGGTGGATCTCTTTGGCTTCTTCTTCTCTTCTACTGGAAACTGAAGTGACAGGCTGGACAGTGAAGATCTTCTCGATGGAGGGCTCTCTGTAAGGACAAAGCAACAATGAACACCTGCTCAGAGGACTGGGCACCAGACTTGTTGTTTGTTGCTCTCAGCAATGTTCCAGCTATATGATGGCAGTAATCTCTGACCAGACAATCCAGTGATTGACATATATCATTTAAGTCAATGAGCCTGACCACCTCTTCCTGTTAGTCACGTCTAATGACAATCATGGGTTACTTAAGAATTCTAAATCAGATTTTAACATAGAGAAAAAGTATGGTAAGTCAATTTCATGGGTCCAGTGGTTTCTAAGCAGAAGATTTTCATGAATGTGGAACATGCAGGCCATGATATAATCTTACTAGACTTTCAGACAGATGGGGTAAAAATGCTAAAACAGTAGTGTTATTCCATGTTTTGAATGAAGATAATACATAATATATGTCTAGACAGTGAGGACTACAGGGAAGGCTGGACAAGACAGAATCTACCCACCACATTAGCAGGATCCTCCATTGAGACAAGACTGGTGTTGACAGGATTGTCCCTCTCATCCCCGCTCATCTCAGTCAGAACACTGCCATCACTCTCCTGTAAACATCAAAACATCCTTTCAGAAGCTATGGCCGGTTTCTATAATGCCTGGTTGCTATTAGCAACAGACAGCAATCAAATGATCCATTTGCTCGTTTGTTTTTTAACATCATACTTAGAAAACTTGCAGCTATTGATAGCAGGTTGTAAATAATCAAGTCTGAACCAGACAATCGAGTGACTGATATCGTGAGCACCAATACATGACCTATGTTCAGGACTAAAGTGATACCGCTGGTATGATTCCAAACATATGTAACATTCAGTGGGCAGCAGTATCATGGAGCTCACCGAGTGTCTGTAGAACAGCTCCTGCAGGATGGCGTCCTCCTGAATCGGGTCTCCAGTCTCACTCAGATCAGCAGCGTCGCTCGACACACTCGTGCCTGGGCTACCTCCATTCAGAAGTTGAAACATCTACAGCACAAAAAACACATCAGCCAAACGTGAGGATGCAGAAACCATGAATTCAACATAATAAAACTAATACCTTTATCAAGCTCCAATGATCTTAAACATATACCCTGACACTATATTACTTAAATGGGGGGCCGGTGGAGTAGCCTAGTGTTTGCTCGTCACTCCGAGAACCTGGGTTCGATTCCCCACATGGGTACAATGTGTACAATGGGTACAATGTGTGAAACCCAAACAATGTGTGTCCATGCCGTGATATTGATAGAATATTGCTAAAAGTTGCATAAAATTAAACTCACTCATTCACTCACTCACTTAAATGGGTGCATCACAGGATTCATCACTGGTGTATCAGGCCCCGTTTTCTTAAAACAAACTTAAGTTTTTACTCAAATTTCAAACTGAGTTTTACAATTTAAAACAGCTGAATTTTTAACTCAACTGCATTTTTAAAATAAAGAAGCCCAAACAACTTGAGTAATCTATCCCCCAAACGCAAATTGTCTTCCATGTTTGAGATTGATGTCGATTTCTGTTCATTCTGGGAAATTCATTTCCCTGCGTTTTCTCAAATTTGAGTAAAAACTCTAACTTAAGTCAAACCTCAGACTTAAGTTTGTTTCGAGAAATTGGGGCCAGAAGGTTTATCAAAGAGTGAATCACAGGGTGTGTCACAGGCTGTATCTCAGGGTGTATCGGACACTCACCTTGAAATCATTTTTTTGCAATGGAGAGCCAACCACCATATCAACAGTTTTAGCATTAATGTCATTGGCTATCACGTCATCAGTTGCCATGACAACACTAGCTGCATCTTTCTCAGCAAGTAGAATTTCCTTCAGCAAACTTCCAGTAGAGCTGCTCCTATTAACAAACATCAAGCATTTCTTACCTTAATCATCCCTTACACTTACCAACATACATCAATCATTTTAATCATTTCTTACACTCGTCATCAAACATTGCCTACTTCAATGATCCATTACACTTGTCATCAAACATTGCCTACTTCAATGATCCATTACACTTGTCATCAAACATTGCCTACTTCAATGATCCATTACACTTGTCATCAAACATTGCCTACTTCAATGATCCATTACACTTGACATCAAGCATTGCATACTTCAATGATCCATTACACTTGTCATCAAACATTGCCTACTTCAATGATCCATTACACTTGCCATCAAACATTGCCTACTTCAATGATCCATTACACTTGTCATCAAACATTGCCTACTTCAATGATCCATTACACTTACCATCAAACATTGCCTACTTCAATGATCCATTACACTTGTCATCAAGCATTGCCTACTTCAATGATCCATTACACTTGTCATCAAACATTGCCTACTTCAATGATCCATTACACTTACCATCAAACATTGCATACTTCAATGATCCATTACACTTGTCATCAAACATTGCCTACTTCAATGATCCATTACACTTGTCATCAAACATTGCATACTTCAATGATCCATTACACTTGCCAACAAACATTGCCTACTTCAATGATCCATTACATTTGTCATCAAGCATTGCACACTTCAACCATTCATTACACTTGCCATCAAGCATTGCCTACATCAATCAACCATTACACTTTCCATCAAGCATTGCCAACTTCATTCATTACACTTGCCATCAAGCATTCCATATTTTAATCAACCATTACACTTGCCATCAAGCATTGCACACCTCAATCAACCATTACACTTTCCATCAAGCATTGCACACTTCAATCATCCGTTACACTTTCCATCAAGCATTGTACACCTCTATCATTCATTACACTTGTCATTAAGCATTGCACACTTCAATCATCCATTACACTTTCCATCAAGCACTGCACACTTCAATCATCCATTACACTTTCCATCAAGCATTGCACACTTCAATCATCCATTACACTTTCCATCAAGCATTGCACACTTCAATCATCCATTACTTTCCACTAAGCATTGCACACTTCAATCATCCATTACACTTTCCATCAAGCATTGCACACTTCAATCATCCATTACACTTTCCATCAAGCATTGCACACTTCAATCATCCATTACACTTTCCATCAAGCATTGCACACTTCAATCATCCATTACACTTTCCATCAAGCATTGTACACCTCTATCATTCATTACACTTGTCATTAAGCATTGCACACTTCAATCATCCATTACACTTTCCATCAAGCATTGCACACTTCAATCATCCATTACACTTTCCATCAAGCATTGCACACTTCAATCATCCATTACACTTTCCATCAAGCATTGCACACTTCAATCATCCATTACTTTCCACTAAGCATTGCACACTTCAATCATCCATTACACTTTCCATCAAGCATTGCACACTTCAATCATCCATTACACTTTCCATCAAGCATTGCACACTTCAATCATCCATTACACTTTCCATCAAGCATTGCACACCTCAATCATCCCTTACACTTTCCAACATACATCAATCATTTTAATCATTTCTTACACTTATCATCAAGCATTGCCTACTTCAATGATCCATTGCACTTGTCATCAAACATTGCCTACTTCAATGATCCATTACACTTGTCATCAAGCATTGCCTACTTCAATGATCCATTACACTTGCCATCAAACATTGCCAGAACTGCACACTGACCTATTTATGGCCTTAGTCCCTGGGACTACAATGTCCTGTGGCCTGATTCCGGCTGCCACCATCTTGTGCTGGTCCTGGCTGTCAACAGATGACACAGCCATTGCATCACGCAGCTTCTTGCCACGCTCCAGCAACACAGACAGCACATCACTGGAAGGGGCCCTGCCTGCTGCAACAACAGCACCTGAATCGTAAAATGAAATCAGAACATTAAACTAAATATTTACTAATAGATTTGACAGCACTGACTACTTGAAGGCATACTGATGCAAACTAAGATCCTTGTACGTAAAGTGGGGAATTTCATGCCTTTCTGCATGAGAATTTACTGTACTATACAACATATTAAGAAGTGAAGGCAAATACCCATCCCCAATGCTAAGATAAAGTCCTCAATATAAACACATCAGGGTACAAAATATATACCAAGATAGCATGTCACTGCAACAATGCTACATCAATATAGCCCACTAATCTTATCCCTGTTGACAATGAACTGGTAATCCAAGCCTACCTGGCCTGCTTGTGGCAGAGAACTGGCTGTGTATGGGAGATAGAGACTTCAGCTGGGGCACTTGATTCTCGCTGGTGGTGACCACTTGACCACCTGCAGTGATGGACACAGTGCTGCCTTCCTGCACAGGTTGAGCTTCCATGGTGTCATACTGCAGCCTCTGCTTCACATCAGCAGTATAGGGATGAGGTAAGCCATTCTCCTTCTTCCGACCATCAGCATCCAGGTGAGAGGCAGGGGAGACAAACGGGTCATCCTGAGGCATGACAGGCTGACTGAAATGTGGCCGTGGTTGATAGCGGTGGGGGTAGGTGGACTCCTGTGTTGTCTGTGTTTCGAGACTGATGTCTGAGGTGGGGATAGAGCCCATGCTGTCATAGGATGCTGAAACAATTCAGAACAGTTCACTGTAAATCATGGTTCTTCTGTACAGATGGTATCTTGTCTTGTCTGCAGTTCAACTTACTGAGTGAAAAGTGATGAAAATTGAACATAAACATTAAAACCAAATGTGCATACTACAACAACCATAATGATATCTTTTTTTGCATCCAATGGGACTTGAAGAGCCAGTTATTTTTAGTATGTAATATTATGGGTCATGCCAAACCCTGATAATTGTTTCATGAACACCACTCATATATCTAGTCATCTACTAACTGTGGCACTTACCCATTGTATTACCTACAAAGTGCAGGACCTACCCAGAGTGGCACGTCTTCTACAGTTCACTACAGTATCTTCAATCCAAGGTAACATCTACCAATAGTATCACTCACCCACTGTAACACATACCCACTGTAACATCTACCGAGAGTATCACTCACCCACTGTAACACATGCCCACTGTAACATCTACCAACAGTATCACTCACCCACTGTAACACATTCCCACTGTAACATCTACTGACAGTATCACTCACCCACTGTAACATCTACCGACAGTATCACTCACCCACTGTAACATCTACCGACAGTATCACTCACCCACTGTAACACATACCCACTGTAACATCTACCGACAGTATCACTCACCCACTATATCACCTACCCACTGTAACATCTACCGACAGTATCACTCACCCACTGTATCACCTATCCACTGTAGTATCACCTACAGTATCACTCATCCAGTATCACCCACCCACTGTAACATCTACCCATAGTATCACTCACATAAACTATATCACCTACCTGTAGTATCACCCACCATATTATCACCCACTCGTAGTATCACCTACCCACAGTATCACTCCACCCATAGTATCACTCCATAAAGTATCACCCACCTGTAGTATCACCTACCACTATAGTATCATCTACCAATAGTATCACCTACATATAGTATCACCTACCCATAGTATCACCTACCCATAGTATCAACTACATATAGTATCACCTACCTGTAGTATCACCTACCCATACTATCAACTACCTGTAGTATTACCTACCCATAATATCACCTACTCATAGTATCACCTACTCGTAGTATCACCTACCTCTAGTATCACCTACATATAGTATCACCTACCTGTAGTATCACCTACCTGTTGTATCACCTACATATAGTATCACCTACCCATAGTTTCACCTACCTGTAGTATCACCTACCCGTAGTATCACCTACTCGTAGTATCACCTACCCATAGTATCACCCACCCATAGTATCACCTACCCGTAGTATCACCTACCCGTAGTATCACCTACTCGTAGTATCACCTACCCGTAGTATCACCTACATATAGTATCACCTACCCATAGTATCACCTACATACAATATCACCTACCCATAGTATCATCTACCCATAGTATCACCTACCCATAGTATCACCTACCCATAGTATCACCTACATATAGTATCACCTACCCATAGTATCACCTACCCATAGTATCAACTACATATAGTATCACCTACCTGTAGTATCACCTACCCATAATATCAACTACCTGTAGTATTACCTACCCATAATATCACCTACCCATAGTATCAACTACATATAGTATCACCTACCTGTAGTATCACCTACCCATAATATCAACTACCTGTAGTATTACCTACCCATAATATCACCTACTCATAGTATCACCTACTCGTAGTATCACCTACCTCTAGTATCACCTACATATAGTATCACCTACCTGTAGTATCACCTACCTGTTGTATCACCTACATATAGTATCACCTACCCATAGTTTCACCTACCTGTAGTATCACCTACCCGTAGTATCACCTACTCGTAGTATCACCTACCCATAGTATCACCCACCCATAGTATCATCTACCCGTAGTATCACCTACCCGTAGTATCACCTACTCGTAGTATCACCTACCCGTAGTATCACCTACATATAGTATCACCTACCCATAGTATCACCTACATACAATATCACCTACCCATAGAATCATCTACCCATAGTATCACCTACCCATAGTATCACCTACCCATAGTATCACCTACATATAGTATCACCTACCCATAGTATCACCTACATATAGTATCACCTACCTGTAGTATCACCTACCCATAGTATCACCTACCTGTAGTATCACCTACCCATAGTATCACCTACTCGTAGTATCACCTACATATAGTATCACCTACATATAGTATCACCTACCCATAGTATCACCTACCTGTAGTATCACCTACTCGTAGTATCACCAACCCGTAGTATCACCTACCCATAGTATCACCTACCTGTAGTATCAACTACATATAGTATTACCTACTTGTAGTATCACCTACCCATAGTATCACCTACATATAGTATCACCTACCAATAGTATCACCTACATATAGTATCACCTACCTGTAGTATCACCCTACACATAGTATCACTCCACCCACCATAGTATCACCCACATATAGTATCACCTACCTGTAGTATCACTCCACCCATAGTATCACCTACCTGTAGTATTACCACCCACAATCACCTACATATAGTATCACCTACCCATAGTATCACCTACATATAGTCTCACCTACCCATAGTATAACCTACATATAGTATCACCTAACCCATAGTATCACCTACATATAGTATCACCTACCCATAGTATCAACTACATATAGTATCACCTACCCATAGTATCACCTACCCATAGTATCACCTACATATAGTATCACCTACCCATAGTATCACCTACATATAGTATCACCTACCTGTAGTATCACCTACCCATAGTATCACCTACCCGTAGTATCATCTACATATAGTATCACCTACCCATAGTATCACCTACCCATAGTATCAACTACATATAGTATCACCTACCTATAGTATCACCTACCCATAGTATCACCTACCCATAGTATCACCTACATATAGTATCACCTACCCATAGTATCACCTACATATAGTATCACCTACCTGTAGTATCACCTACCCATAGTATCACCTACCTACAGTATCACCTACATATAGTATCACCTACCTGTTGTATCACCTACCCATAGTATCACCTACCCATGGTTTCACCTACCTGTAGTATCACCTACCCATAGTATCACCTACATATAGTATCACCTACTTGTAGTATCACCTACCCATAGTATCACCTACCCATAGTTTCACCTACCTGTAGTATCACTCCACCCATAGTATCACTACCCACCCATAGCATCACCTTACCCATAGTATCTCACCTTCCTGTAGTATCACCCACTCCCATAGTATCACCCACCCATAGTATCACTCCACCCATAGTATCACTCCACTGTAGTATCAACTACATATAGTATTACCTACTCTGTAGTATCACACCCACCCATAGTATCACCCACATATAGTATCACCCACCAATAGTATCACCCACCTGTTGTATCACCCACCCATAGTATCACACCAGTATATAGTATCACTCCACCCATAGTATCACCCACATATAGTATCACCCACCATAGTATCACCTACATATAGTATCACCCACCCGTAGTATCACCCACCCATAGTATCACCCTCCTACCTGTAGTATTACCCACCCATAATATCACCTACTCAGAGTATCACCCACCTGTAGTATCACCCATATAGTATCACCCACCCCGTAGTATCACCCACCTGTTGTATCACCCTACATAGTATCACCCACCATAGTTTCACCTACCAGTAGTATCACCTACCAGTAGTATCACCCACCTAGTATCACCTACTGTAGTATCAC